CACCTTCTTGAGTTCTTGCTCTACGGAGCACGGACAATCTGACTTTCACATTATATGAAAAAGGTATAGTCTTCTTGAGTTTAGAACTCCTCAATATTAACCAGCAATCGGTTCAGGTTAGAGAAGACCAACTTATCTATGTATCTTTTTGATTTTCTTATCAATTCTTCATGAGTCTAACATTTTTGAAAATTTTAGGCTTAAGATAGCATCTATACATACAAAGTAGTATGTTCAACTGGGGAAGTTGCCGTGAGTAAAAGTAAATGTCATTCTCATACAATATTATCCAATATCCATTAAATTCAAAGCAATCATTTTTGTACTCCAACTCCATCCTTTTACATTTATAAAACCAAACGGTATGTAATATTCCTTTGATTGATTTCTATGAAATGAAATATGGAGATAACTAACAGTAACCGAGCTCAAAAGTCCATATTGGAACAATACAAAATTGGAAGCAGAGCAAACATTGACCTCTTAAAACATCAGTGGTGGGATCAGATGGCTGGAGGAGTAAGAATCCCTTGTCGACCTGTCACACCCGTTATGTGCTCCTTGTTTGATCAGGCAAACGGAAAAATCCTTAGACAATTCAGTGTGAAAATAATACCCTAACAATCTGTATGAGAAACGTCAGTCAACATTCGATTAATGATAGATTGTACTTGCTAACAAAGTCATTGTATCGATCATAGAGTTTTCGAAATATTGACTTTAAACGGGACTGTTGATATCCTTGTATCATCAACTTATTTGTATCCCTCTTGCGTATCTAATCAATTGGGAGACATAAACTCTACATGCAGGTGATAATGGTGTATTGTTAGATAAATAATGGAAGTTGACAATAGAAAAGTTAAGTCATCACATTAATATTTTCTTGTTAGGTTACTATTAATGGCTTTTTCTAATTACAACGTGAATGTCCATATGTGAAACAGATGTGTCAGACTCTGTGGTGTCTTTTATTTCGAGTGAAAAGGGATATACCGAATCAACTTAGGAATGAAAATGAATATTGTTAATTGATAAAAATTCGTCGATATATCTAAATGTGGAATTGAAGGCCAAAGCAAGAGACTACTCTTTTTCATGTAGAAGTTTTTTTTTTATTCTGCTTCATATGAATACAAAAATAGGTCTACTAATAAAAGGGCGCAATAAGAACCCATGGGAACTCCAACAGATTGTGGGAATACTTGATCTCCAAACACTACATAGATATTTCAATCAGAAACTGAAGCATCTTTTAAATATCAACTTCGGAGTACTTGTATGGACAATTAGAGTGTTTTTTTTAACAAAATAGTTTGCAAATGACCGATGACAAGGTATGTAAATTTACGAGTTATTGAAAGGCAGCTGTCTTTGATGTCAAAAATCCTGGTTTTTAATTTATCGTGGGGAGTAGTTGTATGAAGTGTTGAAAAGTCGAATGTATTAATGTTATTGATTTTAGTAAAATTTTGAGATTTCAAAATTTCTAAAAGTTCCTTTGAGTTTTTAAGTATCCACATCTAATTTACACCACTTCTCGAATATGTCGTTGTACAGTACTCCTGAAATATGAACAGAAAGAGGCTTGATAAAACATTTACTAGAACCCGCTATTCTCTTTGTTTGTAATGATTTTTATGTGGTCTAGGTATCCAGTATAGGTATCGTAATTCAAATTCAATTTGATCGTTGGGAAAATTAAAAATATCTAAAACTGACATATGATTTTGAAGAATTTCCTTCTTAGAAAGGGATCTATAAGTTGGATTACCACTTGCAGATTTAAATCCCAGCTCCTCTAAAATACAATTAAAATAATAATTAACCTTACAACCAAAGACAATGTTGTTTATGCTTTGTCAGCTGGGACCATTCTAAGCAGTATGTGTATGTCCTTGACATACTCGTTTGTATAAAGTACTAAATTTATCTGATCCATTTTGAACCCTTGGTCCTAACATTCAGTCATTAACAGTAAAAATGTCCGAGATTGACTCTTTATTCTGTTCTCACATTAAACAGTAACAAAGATAAAAATCTGTTTGAATTTGTTCTGCTTTATGCATTAGTAAAATTCTGTCTATACAAAGTGTCGGCTATAAAAACTCAGACCTATTTGATAACTTCATAACGAGTCATTTACGTGAGATAACAGTGTGACTCTCCAAAATCTATGCTTCATTGATTAGAATCCTCGAACAAATCGCATGCTAATGGAGTAATATGATAGTGAAGACAAATCCATAAGCGGTGTAACGCCTGCAAGATCATTTTCAAAAGAAATTCTTCAAAGACCATATATAAAAAAGGGATTATACCGGCCACAGGCTGTTACATAAGTTTGGAGACCAAAAGATGGCCAGGAGCATGTCGATATAGCTGCTTCCGTTAATGCATTCTCTGTGATTTGTAGCAATGAAACTTTTTTAATGATTGATTTCAAAAAGAGAATTTCACTTTCCCATGCGTACCTCTACAACACCAGTGTTGGATTTCAATTCCTCTTCGTCCAATTCTTTTTTCTTCTTTAAATCAAGTTTACGAGAATTATTTGAAAATAGTTTTTGTATTGGACCACTCTCCATGGAAAATTGATATTGATAGTGAACCATGATATATTTATCAAAATAACTTGAGTTCTCTATTTAAATTACGGCTGAAAACTAATTCATCATTCGAAAATGAATTTACTATTGCACAATCACTTGAATTGATCAATAAGGGATTCGGATTTTTACAGATAATTCAAAATGATTTACAATAATAATGTTTTTTTAATTCAATATTCAATCACTTCTACAAGATGTGCAATGAATCACTTCAGATGAAAATTTCATAAACGAAATGAGTTGTAGTGGATTCATTTTTCAACAGGGTAAAAAAAAAATAATTCTGCGAATTTTAAAAAAAATATGCAAGAAAACCACAATGTAAAAGATGTCTTGATTTCTCTTATTGTCGTAAGTGAAAGGTTTAGCATAGGAAAATTCCAGATATATTTAATTTGACTTCCTTTAGTGAGGAATCTATGAAGCCTCCACGAAGCATGCATAGAAAATGAAAATACATCTTTAAAGAAAGAAAATACATTTGATTTGACTGACTTTTACCCCCGTCACAGTAAATTAAGCGCCATTAACAAATTAGTTTTTGTTTGAATAAGTATAATCAAAATAATGCAGTAAATGGACCTATGGGAATAAACATGTACAAACCCTGCTGTGATTGGTTATTCATCAGACATATCGGAACCTAAATGCATACTTTCAATCAGTTTTCAAAAGAAAGATCGGCAAATGCAACACGGGAGTGGTTCTTGTTTTTAAAAATGCAAGATCTGTAAATGAACATTTAAAATCAATGATTGCGTAGACAAATTAAGGCTTAAAGAAGTTTCCAAGTCAAACATTGAGTGCTATAACGATTTTTATAGGAATGTAACTTTATATATGTATTCCATTTCTTGAGTCAACAAGTATTTTAAAACTTTAAGTTAATTCAGATTATATTTCATATATCGGATTTTTCTTTCTAAGTGTTTTTAAGAGTTTAAGTTTAATTATCGTTGAATCTTAAGGTAATTGAAATTTTTTGCCGTTCAAATTTCAGCTACTTAAGCTGGTCGCCTTTATTGAAGAGCTTAATCCTAACTGATACAACGGCACATTGTAGCTTCAAATTTATTATAACCCACGCAAACGAAGTTTGGGGGAGCATATTGAAATCAGCATGTCCGTCTGTTTGTAGACGGAATATTGTCCGAACCTGTTCTCGGAGACTATTGCATGGATTTGTCTGAAAATTTGTACACTCATTATTTTTCATAATGATTGGATGATTTTTCTGCATTTACAGGTGCTTTTTTCATTTTTGTTGACTTAGTCTTTTTTGGTTTGTGTGGGTTTGATACATAGAATCTAGAACTGCCACTTGGTATATCTGTAACAAATGTGAATTGCAGCTTAAAGCTACTTATTAAAACTAAAAAAAATCACCAAGTATTTAAAAAGTTATTTTTTTTGTAAACAGTCTCTATAAATCTAAGAGACATGCAGTGACCTTATTAGAAATGTTGCATCAAGATTACACAGTTCTTTTTTATCATTAAATAAAGCTTTGTAACAAAATAAAAAAAAAATCTTTGTTTTCAACAGAATGACATAAATAAATGCAATTTCTTTTGTACTACAGACTCATGGTGCAATACAGAGCAGATAGTGTAAATCCATTTGTCCCTTTGAAATTATAAGTGGACATGCATCCAGTTAAAGATTAATTAATGTGTTCAATGTGGGAAGCTGTTAGAGCATCTATGACCTAGCAGATGTTATCTATATCTCCTGGGAAATGGACAGGAGAATTAAAGATCTCTGTTCTCTAACTCTCTTAATTGTAATTTAAGTAATTTAATAATTATAGTCTGTCAAATTAAAATACATAGTTACTGGATGACCAGCCCTTTATCTTTAAAATGAATTTAATGTAAAGTTATCAAGATTAATTTGATATAGTATAAATAATAATATGATATTCTTATTTTTTTGAACAAACAGATTGCAGAATGTCATGTATCACAAAGATGACAAAGTGTTACAATTTATTTTTTCAATTTAATATGAAACAATATAATTATTAGTATTGATTAGTAATTATTAGTATTATTAGTAAGGCTGCGCCTTAGTATAATGAGCAAATAAAATGTCACTCTAAATGTTTAAAAAAATTGTAAACACCTGTTAGATCCGTAAAATAATGTTTAGTGACTTGGCACCTTTTCTGAAAAACCCAGCGGGGGTATTTGTCCATTCTAAAAAAAATCTAGTTTTCATTTGACATTCTTTAAATTGATTTTTTTTTGTTTCCTATCAATAATATAAACTAATCTACTCATTGTTTAAGTTAATTAATAAATTAATAAGGATTATTTTTGGTTTCTATGCATGATCCCATGACAGTTAATGTTTCTCCTGCAATAAGTTAATTGTCTATAATTACAGGCCCCTCCCGTTGGGGATCTTACAACACGGAGTGGGAACTGTGTGATAAAGGCCGCTTCCAGTCCCCTATTGACATCAATCCGGCCAGTATCGTATTTGATCCCAATCTCCAGTCCCTCAATATTACAAACGAAAAGGTGAGCTAGGCTAACAAAACATAATCACCCATGATGGTTCATGACATAGTGTAAATATTAAGGACAACACGAAGACTAAATGTGACATTTGAATAGTTCTTTAATTGTTTATTATGAAGTATTATGGTAATAGTTTTATAGTTCCGAAGGGATGACTGTATTTAATTAATAGTTAATTAAATGAAGTTTGTACTTTAGCACCAATCAACAAAAACACACGCGATATTAACAGAATCTATGATTATTCATACTACATTTGTACTTAAGTATCCCATTTCATTTTACAATGAAGGACGTTTTGCAATAAATCTATTAAAATCAAATTATACTATTTATCACAAGTGATGGTATTTTCCTGCATTTCTTAGATCATAATCCATGTATTGTAATGCAATATACTTTAGAGCCATCTTCATCAAAAGCCCCATCCAAATCAACAAAGAATGATAATAAATCGTTGTCAAGTGGATATTCTAATTAGCTTGAACTGTCAAGGAAGAAAATTTACTATTTTTTAAAGTAAAAAGTCAAATTAGGTATATAGCATTAAAAGTAGTCTCTACATTTTTATTTTTATTTCCAAATATAGATAGATGGTGTAGTAATGAATACAGGGCACGATATCAGAGTTTCCTTGAATAAATCTCACGGTCATCGGATAAATATTACTGGAGGACCGTTATCGTACAAATACTCAGTTTTCCAAATCAAACTTCATCTAGGTACAGCAGATGACAAAGGTTCTGAACATAAAGTGGCGGGAAAGTCTTTCCCTGCGGAGGTAAGGTAATATAATTTTCTATGACGTCACCACTAAACTAAAAAAATCACCCTGGCATTTATTGTGATAGAGTTGTATCCATATATTTTCTAGATACAACTTTTAGCCTACAATTCAGAACTATATGCAAATGTGACACACGCTAAAAAGTCTCCGTATGGAATTGCTGTGGTTGCAGTATTAGCCGTTGTGAGTAGTATACATTTTCTTTATTCATTGTCTTTTTTTCTCGTACTTATTTAGAGGCTTACACATTTACCTAAATTTTGTGATTTACTTTTAGCTTAAAGATCTCGGAAATCAGCATTTTAGTGCTTTGGTGAGAGCAGCAGGAAAACTAAATAGCAAAGGTACTTTTATAATTTAAAGCTTAAAAATACTTTCAAAAGAGTATAAGTAACGTTAATGTTAAATTAATTTGTATATGGTTGCAGGATTATCTACAGATCTTTATAAATTTTCCCTGTCCGAAATTTTGCCAACTACCATGACCTACATGACATATGAAGGCTCTTTAACACAACCTGGTTGCCAGGAGACAGTCACTTGGGTCATACTTAACAGACCTATGTATATTTCCAGTTACCAGGTAATGTAAAAAAAAGTTTTTGAGACAAACATTAGACTTTTAAAAAAGCATTCACTTTGAAAAATCTTTAAAACAAAAAGATTAATTTTGTTTCTTTTTTTTCATTTAAAATAAGAAAATTTATCATATTCAGTTTTTTTCTTATAGAAGAATTTCCAAACTTTGAATTAATAGAAACATATGATAATTTGATTAACCTATTTTTTCACAATAATAATTTTCAATATAAAGTAAATTTTAAAAAAGTACAAGTAGACATTCCTGTTTCCAAGAATTGTGTGTTCATTTTGTTAAACCAAATTTAGTTTTATACTTTTTTCCCCTAAACAGTTAGAAAAATTGCGGGAACTAACAAGAGGAAATGGAATAGGAGATCCGCTCATGGAAAACAATTTCAGACCCGTACAACCGGATAATAGACGTCTAGTGCGGACCAACATCCCAATTAAAGAGGTTGGTTCATGCAAAATTGCCAAACATATATATTTTGCCAAATGTGATGTAGCAAAACAAAAGGAGACTGATGCATATCGATTTTAGAATTCACTGAATAAAGTAATAATGTGTCCCGATCCTGCTTTGCAGTTTTGAAATTCTTCTCATTAATTTTACTAAAGAAAAGATACATTTGTTTTGAAAAGTGATCCAGCATATATCATGGTTGTGATCAGTAAGATTCTAATAATCCTGAGTTTAGAAATACATGTAGATATCTATATTCTGATAAACTTGTAGAATCAAAGTCTTTCTATAATAAACCAATAAAAAAAACTAAAGTTCCAAATTTTCCTATTGTGCATTGATCTTTTTCTATTTACCACATTCTGACAAAGAAATTCAAAACTTTAAAGAATATTGAATAGATCTACTATTAACGAATGATAATTAAATGTCACATCATGGCATGAACATTGTGTGTACTTTTAGCCAACTAAGGAGACAAATATAAATAAATAATAGATGAGCTTCCATCTTTTAAACAAAAGGCTAGTCTTCATATTTTTTTTTTTCAAAAAGATCATGCATGCACTGTTTAAGTTGTTTCATTAAATGTTAACATTATATCAAAATAATTTCACTCCGTCCCATTGTTTTAATATTAAATTAATCAAACATTATTTAAAGTTTGGTTTTCATTTTCATTTGCTATTTGCTCATTTTTTGTGCAGGAACCAGATTGTACCATAAAGAAAACGACCAGTTATATTGGTAAGAATTAATTGGCATGTATTATGCATTAGAAATCTCAAGCATTCTCTTTCAATAGCCATCTTTTTTAAATGTATTAGTTATGTAATAAATAAATCAGTTGATAGATTCATCTTTGATTTATGATTTTTTTTCTTTCTTATTTCAGTTAATGATAAATTAAAGCCAAGTTAATAATCAAATGTGAGTATTGATACCGTATAGATATATAAGTTTTTTTAATTGCAAATTTCAGTGAAAATTGTTCTATTTGGTTTTATTCTTAAGATGCTCATTTTTTTCAAATCTTTTAAATAATACATATTATTAAATGTATTATGAATTAATCATACATTGTGTAACCTGATGAAAAGGGAGGATTTCGTTTAAGTCTGAATTCTTCTTGTTCTCCCCAGTCCTTCACGTAATTTTTTTTTTCGAAAAATTATTAGCAATATTTATGGTATAAGCCATGTGTATGTATGATTATAAGACAGAATTTCAGGTACAAATTTTTGCTAGCCACAATGTTAAAATCGCCCTCTGTGTAATATATTTATTTGTTTATCTTAAGATTTCGAACCCATATAGGGGGTTTACTTTTCTTTTTTACATAACGATTGCATAAAGTTATAAAAATTCTAAAGAAAATATCAGTCAAGGTACATGTAGTCATGTCTTCTAGGAAATAAAAGAGATAATGTATAATCTGTCTAATTTCGAAATTCCACAATATGAACATTATCTGACACAAACATAGATTAAAAACAAATTATGTGCATCGATTTTGCGTTTTGCCAACTAACGTGACATTTCTCAGTAAAATAAAATGTTTCTGCATTCGTCTGAAGAAATGATATACTTTAAATTTGCACTTTCTACCGATTTAAATGTCCTAAACTCATTTTTAATGTATTTTTCCAGACTCTTTCAAATCCTAACAAGAAGTACCAGAATTATCTGTTTCTTTGAAGCTCAGCTTCAATTGAGATATTCTGTCCAAACTGTTATCTTCTGACTGTAATAAGTTTTTATTAATATTAAGAACATACAAAGCAAAACATGGATATGCCTTTTTTTAACACTTAATGAAACACATTAAAGCTTAATGTAAAAATATTTTTTACATTTAGGCTAGATTTAACAGTAAGGACCGGAACACACCCATCATGACCCTCTTCCTTTGACAAAACAAAGTTTGTTTCTTTTTACCTTTTGGCATTATTTACTTTTAGAACCTAGACAAAGTTTGTTTCTTTTTACATTCTGGTATTATTTATTTTTAGAATTTAGACAATGTTTCTTGAGCCATATACGTCAACTTATTTGTCCAATTGTTTCATCATTTAAGGGGTGTGTTGTGTGCTATTAATTGCATTTTTATGATGTTGACTTTTTAATTAATTCAAGTATACTGAATCATTATTCATATTTCAAAGTTTTGCTTACATAGAAAAATGTGTTTGTTGATGAAAAATAAAATAAAGGTGACTGAATATTTGCATATTTTGATAAGAGGGAAAACATTAATCTTTTTTGTCCTATAATTGATAATGTACAAATTTTACGAATTTGGCATTTCAAGACTTATGATTACATTGTTAAGATTTGATTTTATTTATTTACAGAACAGTGTGCTGCTACAATTGAAGGGCTTCCATATATATTATCTTGTTACAATAGATTGTCTTCCAGAGTATTTAGTGAGCATTTAGTGAGCTTCAAAATGTTGCTAATGCCGAACCGGAGTGTTCATAGAAAAAATTCAAGGATTTTAATTCAGTCTTAGATTACTTTTTTCTGTTTGTGACCAGTCGTTTTTTTTTTTTACAATAAAAGTGAAACTGTCAATTTTCTGTGTTAAAGTAAAGAATAAGGCTTTCAATGTACAAGCTTGAACAAAATGTATACTTTGGAATTAAAGCAGATTTCAATCTTCTGTGTTACATGTGTTCTTTATCAGGTCAGTGCTATGTTGGACCGTATTTTTTGATACGTTCCAATTGCTGAGGTTTTATGTGTATAATTTAAAACTTTCCTCGCAGTAATTGTATTTAAAGAAGAAGGAAAAAGATAAGAAGAAAGCGGAACAGCGAGGATGATACTCGAAATCACAGGAATTCAATGCATGATATTTTTTATGGTCACTGATAGCAAAAAAGCACGAAACTCTTATCGAAAAAAGGGCTTGATAAATAGCAAAGGTCAGTTAACATTTAATAGTATTGCTTTCATGGATTAGGTTCTGTTTGATATTTTTAATAACAAAATAATAGCTCTTCTTTCAAAGCACTAAACACAAAGAGGAAATAAACATTTGGACAAGTACTATGATACACAGGTCTATTTAATCGTATCATTGATACTGTAAAGGGAGAGTGAGATTTTCATTATATTCCATAGTATGGAAGAAACTGCACTTGAAATTTACAGTCTTGTATATCTGCCTTAATTAAAGTTAAAAATACAGTTCGATATGCCTGGAGAAAGTTGAATGGTAAGCCTATTTCACAAAAAAGAACAGTGAACGCACCTTTGGCGCGTATCGGTTTTTAAAAAGAGAAACAGAAAGAGAGGGATAAATCAACACACATGTATATATGATGGTACATTATCTAAAAGTAATAAAAAGGAAGAAAAAAACTAGTGTTTCCTTCTTTTCTATGTCAGAAGAACAAGAGAGGAGTTACAAGATAATTGTCAAGTACTTCAGCCAACCTTTATTGTTCATTCCATGATCCTGAAACATTATTTCTATAAAAGACACAATCTTCCAAAGTTTTATAATTTTTTCACATAATTAAAGAGATGTTACACAGAAACAAAGAACATAGCAGTACAGCCTTTAGAGGTAGCACTAATGATGTATCCAAAGTCCATTCTCTGAATCCATGTTATGTAATTCATACTTAAGCGTATAGTGTCTACATTTGTGTTACAACCTATAAAATATCTTCTTTGTAAGTGTTTTGCCAAAATATATAGTCCTATGATTTCTTATTTATACACCTATTTTACATTGTATCTAGGTGTTTTACATAATTTAAAACACCTTCCTTAATTTTTTTTTTTATTTTATTGCTATGAATTATATCAAATTTAACAAAAATATGGATTTAGAAATATTGATCTAAACGTGAGATTTAAAGATATCGATGAAGTAATCTCGAAATGCAACAATAAAAATATATACAAAGTAGTTCTTTCGATATAAATATGCTAGTATATCTATGGAAAAGATGTGAAAATATTGTTCTCAAATTAACTTCGCGGGCGGTTTCTATTGAAACGTCACATCACTTAATTTAGTGACGGCACATGTACATTGTACCATATGGTGTACAGTGTCAACTATTTGCTATATGATTATAGAGAGACTAAAAACGTTTAGAAGAAGGGGTGGGGTCATTAGCAGTAAGATTGTCTCCAGTCCAATTAAGCAAATATCAATTTACATCATTCTTAAGCAAATATCAATTTACATCATTCTTATTAATAAGAAATCAAATATAAGCAAGTTTAGTAAAAATTTTATGATTTCTTTTATTAATAAAATTTATCGATTTCTTTTTGAAAAAAAAAATATATGCTTGTAAAGTAAACACAATGAATATTGTGATAAGTAAAATAATTAACAACAGGTACCCTCCCCAATGATTTCAATGTTCTGTTCCTTAATACATGTAATACTAAGCCTATTCGTGGATGCATCGAAAGTAACAATATTATAAAAGTGACACTGGCTATGTAAACAATGTAAATGTTTGATGTTTTGTCACCATGTGGTAAACATAGGATCCATCACATAGACATGAACGTCCACATCCTTAACCCCCCCCCCTCCAATTTAAAAAGAAATATTAAGTGAAACATACAGAATATCAGATAAAATGTCAGCAGATCAGATCTAAATTCTTAATACTTAAAATTATGTAATATCATGTCATTGCGGACAATCTAGATAAGCTTAGTCACAAAGTTAAAAAGAGGGTGAGGGGTCAATCAAGTAAAAAAATTGACAAGTACAAAGAATAACCCTCTCCATTATTTTTGGGATATATTTACAATTCAGTACTATTCAGTAAAAAGCTGGCGGAGGGGGCACAAAGATATTTTTTCACCTTCCCCTCTTCAAAAGTGGTGATGGGGGCAGTATCCCCTTAAGACCACGTCTATGATCTACGGATAATATATCTCCATCTCTCTTCTTAAAAATGTATGCATCACACTATAATCGAATACAATTGGAAATATACGGTACAGGTGCTGTCTCTGAACCCCGAGTGAAGTTAATTCAATAACAACATGAAGCGCTATGATGTAACATCAAAACGTACGACTTTTCAACACTTTATACAACCGTTTTCAACGATAAATTAAAGTCCAGGGTTTTTTTGACAGCTGCTTTTTCAATAAAATTAGAACTAACCTTGTCATTGGTCATTTGCAACATTATTTTGTTAAAAAACATTTTGATTGTACAGAGAAAAAGTAGGGTATATTGCTACATAAGTAAGGGACGTTTACGAAAGAAAAGTTGAAAATCGTCGCGTTTATCATGAGGCTTGGTTTTTAGGTTACCATTAACGTTAGTGTCTTTTTCTAGTAAAATATCTAAATATGAAAAAGATGTGTCAGACTCTGTGGTATCTTTTATTTCAAGCTTACTGGGATATATCGAGTCGAAATATGAATGGAAGTAACTATTGTTAATTAATAATACGTCGTCTATATATCGAAATGTCGAGTTGAAGGCCACAGCAAGTGTTTTCCTCTTCTCATGTAGAAGTTTTTGAATAAATTCTGCTTCATATGAAAACTAAAATAGGTCTGCTAATAACGGGGTGCAATTGGTACCCATGGAAATTCCAACAGATTGTTGGAAGACCTGAAACTCAAGCATCTTTTTAATATCAACTTCAGAGAACTTGTATGTACAATCAGAATGCTTTTTAACAAAATGATTTTTCAAATGTCCAATGACAAGGTGAGGTTATTTACGAGTTCCATTTTTATTGAAAAAGCAGCTGTCAATGATATAAAAAAGCCTGGACTTCAATTTATCTTAAAGACCCAATTTTTTTACCGTACGGTTACCTGAGGAGGGGGAGTGGTCTTGATAGTACTGGTGTTATTTACCTGGAGAGCCCCAATACTCAAGATGTCAAAAATCCCTATACACGATGCATTACACAGGAAGTCTGTCTTTGGTAATCAGGGTCAACATTACGCGTTTCGTGTCTAATTTAGAGCAAAAAAATACTTTAATATAAAATCTATTAAATAAGTATGAATATTGAAATAAAAAAATCCCATTTATCAAATTTATCCGGCGTGTGGATTTTTACCACAATCGAAATGTATTTATTTTTTCTCCCGGTGCCAACAATGTTGTCCAAAATATTCAGCATTTCCAAAGGTCCCTGTTCACAGATTTGTATTGTTTGTAAGATTTTAATCAAGATCGATCACTATTCGTATTCATATATATGCAAAGATAAAGCATGTGATAAAGGAATCTTTCGTAATTCATGACGTTAGTGCTAAATATTTTTCTTATACATTTTATTTTATTTTGTCATGATTTTAATTGGCGGGCTTCGCATTGAGTTTCTGTGCACCCAAATGCAGGGTCGACAGGGGCATTACGATGATTACTAAAATCTCGGCAAAGGTTGAAGAAGGGGCTCGGAAGAATTATTGGTCTTAGCTGCTACGGGAACTTCGTTCCTCTCCGGATCCAAGTCCCAGGCAGTAATTGAAAAAGATCGAGCCGCTAGTTTTTCTTCAAAAAGAGTTACATTTATTTTGGACATAGACATCATATCGCTTTTAAAAAGTACCAAACAGCAGTGGAGATTGAAAAAAAAATATCATGAAGTCAAGATTTAATTCTCTACTCTTAATTATTTCAATAAAATGACCAACCATGCAATATAACAGCGACTTGATTTTTTTTAACCCTCAGTGTATATACAAAGCAACTTTTCAAGCGGTACATGAAAGTGTTTGACGCGTGATCAGGCGATCATTTTCAATACCTGCAAATTCAGATTATCAGGTAGCACGGGTACCTGGTCTGTCAATCAAATCAGTAGCTATTGTTTTTTCTATGATTGGCAGGCGGTATATTATTGATCTTGAATCAGGTAGATTATGGGGGCGTTAACGTAAAATTGGGTGTTTAAGGAATGGTTGTATGAAGTGTTGAAAAGTCGTACGTTTTGATGTTATTGATTTTAGTAAAATTTTGTGATTTCAATTTTTCTTAAAGTTCCTTGGAGTTTTTAATTATCCACATCTGATTTACACCACTTCTCAAATATACTGTTGTACGGTACTCCTGAAGTTTCTACTTCATTACAGTAAACATTTTAGTGAGGAGTAAAGAAAGGGGCTTGTAGAACATTTGCTGGAACCCGCTATGTATCTTTGTTTGTAAGGATTTTTATAAAGTTTAGGAATCCAGTAAAGGTATGGTAATTTAAATTCATTTTGATTGCCATTACGACTTTTCAACTTTATACATAACCACTCCCCACGATAAATTAAAGTCCAAGCTTTTTGATATCATTAACAGCTACTTTTTCAATAAAAATGGAACTCGTAAATTTACATACCTTGTCATTGGTCATTTGCAAAATTATTTTGTTAAAAACATTCTGATTGTACACACAAGTACTCTGAAGTTGACATTAAAAAGATGCTTGAGTTTCTGATTGACAATATCTATGTGGTTTTTGGAGACCAGGTTTTCCAACAATCTATTGGAAAATCCCATGGGTACCAATTGCACCCCGTTATTAGCAGACCTTTTTTGTATTCATATGAAGCAGAATTTGTCCAAAATCTTTTACGTGAAAAGAAAAAAAACACTTGCTGTGGCCTTCAACTCGACATTTAGGGTGTATTCGATTAAGCG